AAAAAAAAAAAAAAAAAAAAACACTTTGGGGAAGCTGACAACAGGAACTTCCCGGACACATGCTTGATTTCCCTTCTGTGTGGCTTCTGCAGGGCTTCATGCACGTCAGGCAACCTGTTAGCAACCGGACTCGGTCTTCAGCCTCAAGCCATTGTTACTGATTAAAAAAACACTCGGGAGGCAGAGCCAGGCGGATCTCTGTGAGTTCGAGGCCAGCCTGGGCTACCAAGTGAGTTCCAGGAAAGGCGCAAAGCTACAACTTTAATTAATAAAAGAGATGACTCCCTCTCCCCTAAACATTCAAGTTTTTCTTCATTAGAGGTTATGATTGTTGATGCATGTGATGGTTATTCTTAGCTGTCAATTTGACCATATTTGAAATGAACTATGATCTAAGTGATTGAGTTCACCTGTGAGGAATTTTTTTCTTAATTAAATTATTGTAAGTGAGAAGACCCACTTTTAATATGGATGTTTGAGGTAAGGGAATATACATTAATCTGATCAACACATTGTTGAAAGATATTTGATTGCAATGTGAAACACCAAGACTCTGTTAATAAAATTAACCTTGGATCAGGGGGCCAGGCAAGTGATCTCCTTACAAGAAGCCGGACTAGTTTGAGTCTGGCATCTGCCAGGCGCTGCTCCAGCTGGAGATGAACGCCGATCTCAAGGCGCAGCTGCGGGAACTGAACATTGAAGTTGGTGGTGGCCGGAAAGCTATCATAATTTTTGTATCAGTTCCTCAGCTGAAGTCTTTCCAGAAAATCCAAGTCTGGCTGGTTCGTGAATTGGAGAAAAAGTTCAGTGGGAAGCCCGTCGTCTTCATTGCTCAGAGGATTCTGCCCAAGCCAACTCGGAAAAGCTGCACGAAAAAGAAGCAGAAGCGCCCCAGAAGCCGCAGCCTCACTGCAGTACATGACGCCATCCTCGAGGACTTGGTCTTCCCAAGTGAGATTGTGGGGAAGAGGATCTGCGTGAAACTGGATGGCAGCCGGCTCATAAAGGTTCATTTAGACAAAGCCCAGCAGAACAACGTGGAGCACAAGGTTGAAAATTTTTCTGGTGTGTATAAGAAGCTCACAGGCAAAGATGTTAATTTTGAATTCCCAGAGTTTCAGTTGTGAAGAAAATGACTGAAAAAAGTGTCATTCGTAGTAAAAAAAAAAAAAAAAAAAAAAA